GTATATATACCTTCAAATATCTTCCATAATAATGTCCTTATGGAGAGGTGATGTTTTGCAAGTGTCTCTGAGAATGTTGGGAGACAATATAATGCTCTATACATTAATTTAGTTCCTTAATAATTTAATCTGGTAAGACTTTACAATAAGTTTGTATTAGCTAATGTTAGGTGATGCATTTACTAACATGAACAAACAATAAATAATGCATTGATTACAGTATTTGTTCATGTTAGTAAAGCATGAAATTGGATGTTAACAATCCATTAGTAAATGTGGAACTATGATTAAATGTTTTACAAGTATTGTTCATTATTAGTTCATGTTAGTACATACATTAATTAACACAACCTTAAAGTAAAGTATGACCTTTAATCTGAATTCTTGTGCATCATTATGGAGATTCTAGCCTTTTTGACTTTATGGAGATTTTTTTGTGATCATTTTGCAAATATAAATGTAAACAACATGCATTTTGGCATACAAAAGTAAAATTTTTATTCAAATGTTATTGTTTCACGAATTAACTTCCATTAATTGTTTTATAAATTGTTTAAAATGTCAGTATCTCAATACCGCCATTGAATTCCACTTGTATTTAAGCAAAAATGAGTATATTTTTAGTTAACAGGCTTTTATTTTGTTGCCAAAGCTTCAAAATTGCCATTTTTAAAAATGAAAGAACAATTTTCAGTACTTTGAGACAGTATATTATTTAGCTTAGCCTGTAGACCTAAAAAAATGTACAAACTGTAAATTTAAAAGCTTATTATCCATAAAATTTATGATTTTACCAACATGACTGATGCTGGTAAAGGAAAATGTGTCAATTAGCAATATACAGTGCATTTAAACATTAAAACATGATACTATTATTATGGTTTTATAGCAACATTTAGTCCCCTGCTCTAAAAAAACTGCACAATTGGTAAAATAAAACAAATAAATCACAATGCAGTTTTCTAAATTCTCTGTGTTTAATAATGCACAGACATGCTAGTTAACAAACTAGTACAATTACGATTATTTTCAGAGTCCTGTAAGCCTGAAAGCCAGAAATCCAGGTGGTTATTAGGCATTTGTGCAGGAATTCTCTTGACTGTGCCGTGTGTGCATGCGCAAGAGTGTGTATTGTGCAGAAAGTGTGTGAAGTTAACAGCACCTGGCCTCTCTTTAAAAAGCCTCCGGAGGCCTGTTAGCTGGTCCACTCATTTCAACGTGTCTGTCTGCGTCTCTGGAAGTGAAACACTGTCAGTCTCTCCACTGTCTGTATGGCACTTATCTCTGTCTCTTCACTCTTTCTGCTTACACTGCCCTTTTCTTACACTCTTACTGCGGATTATCTACACGCAGATAACACCAAGCGATATGCAGCTGTACATGAGTGATGCTACTAACAATTATTTTCCAGTAACAATGGCATTGATAAAAATAAGAATGTGACGTTAACTTGACAAAAACACATGCATTTGTTATAATAATAATAATAAAATTTAATAATAATAATAATATTATTATTATTATTATTTTTTTTTTTATCAATAGTAGTAGTAGTAGTAATTTATTTATTAAGGAATGTAGAATTGCTTATTTATTTGTTTATTTACTTTATAAGTAATTTAAACAATAATTATTAATAAATATAGTAAATAATACTACTACTAATAATAATAATAATACAAATTAGTAAATAAATAATGATAATTATATTGTTATTATGATTTTTTATTAAAAGTAGTGGTAATTTATTTATTAATAAAGGTATTTCTTATTTATTTGTTTATTTAATTAAAAAATCATTTAAACTAACAATACTTACTATTAAATATAGTAACATATTAACAATGATCATAATACTATCATTATTATTATTATTATTATTATATTATTGTTATTATTATTATTATTATTATTATTATTAATAATAAAAACTAAATAAATACTTATTATAATTGTTAGTAATATTATTTTTATATTAATAGTAGTAGTTGTAATTTATTTATCAATAGAAGTGTTATTGTTTATTTATTTTATAAGTAATTTAAATTAACATTAATTGTTATTAAATATAGAAATACATTAATTTAAAAAAAATAATAATAATAATTTTCCTAGTGACTGGAAGGGCATCCGCTGTGTCAAACATATGCTGGATAAGTTGGTGGTTCATTCTGCTGTGGTGACCCCTGATTGTACTGTACTTGGGACAATGACAACTTGCAATGCTTTTTATTTTATATTAAATATATATACACATTCAAAATATAAGGAAGTTTGTAATGTTTATAAATTTTCATAATAATTGTGCTTTTATTTTAACATTTCTAATTATATTTGTTTACACCAATGACTATATGATTACAAAAATGAATCCTTGAACATGCATGAATAAATGAAAAAAAAAAATATTTTAATACATATTTTTAATATAAAACAATTCTGTATTTAAATTCTTTTTTATTATTATTTATTATTATTAATAAATGTTTTATTATTTAATAATACATTTTATTATGTTTAAAATAAATTGTAATAATAATTATAATATTAATAGTTATAATGATATTAGACTAATATTATTAATAATAATAATAATTTAAAAATAATAATAATAATAACAATAATAATACTATATTTCAATTTGTTTAAACTATTGTATGATTACAAAAGCAAATCCATGAATATGTATAAATATATGGAAAACAGGTATTTAAAATTTTAATTCTGTATTTGAACATTTTAAAATGTTTAAAATAAATATAATAATAATAATAATAATAATAATAATAATAATAATAATAATAATAATAATAATAATAATAATATCATAAACCAACATGAACAATCAAAACGTGCTCTGGCTCAAGTTGACAGAAACACTTTTAAAGACACAAACAGATCTCCATTTCACACACATATACACACACACAGCCAGTGAAGAGTGCAGGTTAAAACAGGAGTCAGTAATGAGAAAGCGGGAGGGGTTTGACCTCAATCAGACGCGTGTGAGAGAGAAGTGATGATGAATGGAGGAGATGGGGGTGAGCCTGTAATCACCAGCTGGAGAGGGTGGATGATGGGGAGGGGAGGGGGTGCGTTTGTACGCTGGGGCCACAAAGAGCCGCGGGACACACTTCAGTCTGCTGAACTGAGCCTGGTGCAAACACACAGGCCCACGGGCTGCTTTCAGCTGCTGCCAACCAGGACTGAGACGCTCAGTTACACATACACACATACACAATAAAAAGAGCTGGTGTTAGAGATAGAAACTTCACGATGATAAAAAAAAAAAAGTTTAATAAAAATATTATCAAATAAATGTTCAAATGATTAAAATCTGTTAAAATTATAATTTTTTTGCCTATTTGGAAATGAGAATTTTAGTGTAAAAATGTATATAGCAACCAAAAAATAAACATGTAAACGTTATAAAAGTTAAATATAAATTAAAACACTTGTATTAAAATGCATAATAAAAATAAAAAATGCATTAAAATGCAAAAAGAAAATAATATTCCTTATTAATTTCATTAAAATTATTACTTTAGAAATTCTTTATTTATGGTCTAAAATAATTAAGTATAAAATTTGCTATAAAATTTATATTTAAGAAAACAACTAAAAATTTAACTAAAAACTTACAAATAATTACAAATACTTAAAAATAATTTAAAGTACTCTACAAATAGACGTCAACAACAATTTTTAAATCAACAATTTTGGAATTGTTATGTCTACTTTTAAGTATTTTATGAGTGTAAACATTGATGTTGCATCAAAAAAAAAAAAACATGAAAATGTTAACAAATTACATATAATTTCAAATATTAGATGGCAAATTGCAAAATATAATGTCAATTTTAATTATAAATATGTTAAAAAACACATCAAACCTAAACATTTGTTATTACTTTGCCTTTATTTAAGTTGTGTAAACATTTGCAAGACACCTAAATAATACAAAAAGGCACAACAAATAAATATAAATATAATAACTGCACGAATATAAACTGAAAACCCAAAACAAAACACACAAAAACAATAATAATAAATAAAATCACGAATGGATGTAATCAAAGAATAAAACATTAAATAAATAATACATAAATAAAACCAGTCATCTTTAACAATATTTAGTTTAACTAATAAGTAATTCAGATATTTATAAACATTCACGACAACCAAAACAAAAAAAAAACTGCTTAAAACTGTTATGAAAATCCTTGAAAATAAAGCTAACGATGCCCGAGGAATCTGCAATCCTGTTTCCACACACACTCTCATAGAGTGACACACTTGTGAGTGAATAAGTGAACACACACATACACACACTCCACAGCGCCTGCAGACTCTCCGTGAGCTCAGCCTGACCTCTCATGCTGCTCTTTTGGAGAGCTGTCAAACCCATCATTCACTGTACCGCCATACACACACACACACACACACACATACATACTGTACATACAGCCCTCGCAAAGTCACAAACAATCAAGCACACAGTCCCTCCGCACATATAAATGAAAAGAAAAACACATGCATTGGCTTTTAAAGCGAATAAGCAGTGCAAGTGTGGGGAAATCAAATAAGGAGGCCCTCTAGTGGCCACAAACAACCGGCAAACCTCCGTGTTTCACACTCACAAACCACAACACTTGCATTGAACCACCACCACCACCAACATAAAACAAAATCAAATAACTCACTCCAAATAAAGTCACTCTAAACAACCCAAAAAGTACACAAAATGAAGTTTCACACCCAAAACAAACAAAGTAAACAATAAATAAGCAGCACAAAATGCCCTCAAAGCAATACAACTGTCCAGAGTCCTGTCTATAAAATGCACACAGCTGAAGGGTGTCAGTCAAAAAAAGCTGCCTGCTGAGCCTTGTGTGAATGCCAGCGATAGAGAGAGAGTGAGAGAGAGAGAGAGAAAGGGAGAGAGAGAGACGGAGCGCGGCGGATGACAAACGGACGGGGGGGAGAGAGACGCAACTTACCTGCTGTTGTTGCAGATGCAGCAGCTCGACTGCGCTTACTTCACTGCTCGTCTCCCCACTTGATCTTCCATCTCTACTGCCAGCATCTAATTGGCTGCTTAGGCTGCTCATTCCATTTTGACTCATTGAACTGTTGCTTATTGTCTCATTGGCCGACTCCTGCATCATGACTTAATACCTAGAAGTGATTAAGAGGCACCGGTTAAGGCTCTTGTTACAATCCCCTTTAGTTGCCTCCTAAAAAAAAAATAGGGGGGGGGGGTTTAAAAAAAAAAAGAAAAAGGAAAACTGGGGGCGAGAGTGGAGGAAAAAAAAAAGCTTTCCATTATCAAGCCCTGCTCCGTTTGCAAATTAAAGCATTTACCAGGGGGGAGGGGGGGAATTATGCATTCGCTGTGTAAATGAGGCAATACAAAGAGATGCTTGATGGCTTTTATTTATTTATTCTGTTTGTTTGTTTGTTTGTTTGTTTGTTTTTGGCTTGGGTTTTTTTTTTGTCCATGCTGATTCGTATGAATGTTACAAAGTGTGTTATAAACATATTAATGTTATTTATTTAATTTCATGCATGCTTTTAAAATTGTGTTTGTTGAGCATGTTCATTTTTACCTGGATAAATGTCACAACAGATATGTTGTTTATTTATTTGTTTATTTATTTTGCTTCATGCATGATTTAAGTTGCATGTTGATTGTAATATGAATAAATGTTACAAGGAGTGTTATAAACAGAAATACTGTATGCTATTATGCTTCATGCATGCTTTAAATTGTGTTTTTGTGCATGTTGATTGATCGTTACATAAATAAATGTTCCAGGGAGTGTTAAAACACACATACAATTTATTTATTTTGCTTCATGCATGCTTTTTAAGTCATGCATTTTGATTTTTACGTGGATAAATGTTACAAAATGGGTTTAAAATGATTAAAAAATGTTTATTTATTTAGATTTATGCATGCTTTTTAATTTGTGTTTATGCATGTTGATTTTTACATATATAATTGTTACTAGGTGTGTTATAAACATACATATTGTTTATTTACTTATTATGCTTCATGCATGCTTTACCATGTTTTTTGTGCATGTTGATTGTTACATGAATAAATGTTACAAAGTGTGTTATAAACATATGCATGTTGTTTATTTATTTTTTATCCCTCATGCATGCTTTAAGTGGTGTTATGTGCATGTTGATTGATTGCTACATGGATAAATGTTAAAAGGAGTGTTATAAACACATACAATACTGGTTATTTATTTTTGCTTCATGCATGCTTTAAATGTTGTGTATGCATGTTGTTTGTCGCATGAATAAATATTGAAAGGAGTGTTATAAACTTATGAGTATTGTTTATTTGTTTTGCTTAATGCATGCTTTTCAAGTTGTTTTTGTGTGCGCTGACTGTAACATGGATAAATGTTACAAAGTGTGTTAAAAATGTTTATTTATTTTGCTTCATGCATGCTTTTATGTTGTGTTTATGCATGTTGATTGTCACATGCATAAATGTTACAAAGTGTGCTATAAACACATATTGTTTATTTATTTATTATGCTTGATGCATGCTTTTGAAGTTGCGTTTATGTGTGTGTGTGTTGATTGTTACATGGATAAAGGAGTGTTATAAACTTATAAATATTGTTTATTTATTGATTTTGCTTCATGCATGCTTTGTAAGTTGTGTTTTTGCATGTTGAAAAATGTTACAAAGAGTGTTATAAACACATACATTTATTTATTTTGCTTCATGCATGCTTTTTTAAATAGTTTTTTGTGCATGTTGATTGTCACAAAAATAAATGTTACAGGGTGTGTTATAAACATGCATATTGTTTGTTTATTTATTTAGCTTCATGCATGCTTTTGCAAGTTGTGTTTTTGTTTGCGTTACTGTTACATGGATAAATGTTACAAAGTGTTATAAATATACATGTTGTTTATTTATTTGTTTCTTTATTTTGCTTCATGCATGCTTCGTGTTTTTGTGCATGTTGATTGTTACATGGATAAGTGTTGCAAGGTGTGCTAAAAACATATAGTTTATTTATTCGTTTTGCTTCATGCATGCTTTTTAGGTTGTGTTTATTGTTAGATGAACAAATGTTATACACATATTGTTTATTTATTTATGCATGCTTTTTAAATTGTGTAATTTTGTGCATATGTACTGCTATAAAGATAGATGATAAAAGTTGTGTTCAAAATATATATACATATATAAATTTATAAATAAATGAAATGTAACACCTTTTATTTCTGGCTCAAATGTCTTAAAATATCCCCGTTGCGTCTCGACTGAGCAGAGTTGCCTAATGATGCACGGCTAATCATGCAAAATTAAAAATTTGGTACAGGAGGTGAGGGGAGAAGAGGGGGGAATTACAAATCACATGCTTCTGTACGGTGATGAACGATATAATGGTCTTTTCTTTTAGCTGGAGCTAAATAAAATTTGCCTGCTAGTCAAACGAGGAGAGAAGAAAAAGAGGCTCGTGCCACACATAGACCAGTCCTCTCCCTCCCTTTATTTTAATCGCATACTCAAATATTCATTATTTCCGTATATTTAGCGCCGTCCGCCGAGCACAATTAAAATTCAAACACCGAATTCAAACAGAACCACGTCAGTTTTTACTCTGGCAAATAAATGAAAAGCAGATTCAATTAATCTGTCTATGGCATCTGCTAGAAATGAGAACGGGGGATGAATGTTGGCTGCAAATACAAATAACAATAATACTAATAATAAAAATCATGAATATCGCTAATGATTGCGCTAAAACAGCATGAATTATGCATATTACCTCTTCTCTGGTAATAAATGTTTTATCATTTCCCCCTGCATAAGTGTCGTGTATGTTCACAGGAGCCCTGCCAAGATCTTTGCGATCCTTCCAATAAATAAAAGAATCATCCGACCCAATAAATGCAATTCAAGGTGTGTTCTGCATAGCTAATACACCCACAAGAGCCTTAATACACACACAGACACGCACGTCATTCATCCGACCCCCCCTCCTCCTCTCCTCCCATTACACATTTTTGTTCCTCTCCAAAAAATGACGACAGGCCGTCTCATATTTCAGAGCGTTCAAACATAAACAATATTAATTACGCTAATGGCAGCGCACGCACAATAAAATATCCCTAATCTCGTGTAATGTTTAGAGGGGGATTGGTTTTTCCACCAACACTTTCATTTATTTCCCTGACAGCTCCGCCATCCTTCTTTCCACAGATTAAACACATCAATTTTGTCACCTGCTACGTACGGACAATTAGCAGCGATCTTTGAACGAGAGCATACAGTAACTCGACAGCCGAGCCACAGAGAGAGAGAAAAAAAAAAGGAAAAGACGGCGTTAATCAAACGCACGACACAACAAAGACAGTCTTCTAATCCACGGCTGCTTTTTAGATCAGCGAATGACATTTTAAAGGCTTTGCCAGTGTCTTATAAGAAACACAAGTCTTTTGCTTTTTTCTCACCACCTAGCAAGAAAGCACTGGTCAACTTGAGAACAAATAAAAGTCCAGGGGAAAGAGGGAAAGGCAGGAGCTGACGAATCTCTCCAGAAGAAACACAAAGCTGCCGTTGAGATTAGGCGACTAATAAGTATTCAAATTAGGCATAAATTTTACATGCCCCATGTTTAAAATATTCAGAGAAGGGCTGCTTGATTGCCTTTACGCGAATTTTATGAACAGAGTAATGGAGTGTTTTTTAATGCCACAATGAAGGAGAGTTAAAAAAAAAAAAAAGTGCAGGATGAGTTTAAAACCCGATTTTTTTTAGACTAACCTGGGAAAAAACTACGACATGATAATTAAAATTACACTCAGTTCGCACTAAAAAAAATAAATCAAATACGATTTCGATGAAAATGATTCGCAGAATTAAACACACACTCGTTATACAACTACAGAACATCTAAAAACCACACACACACACACAAAAATCCTACTTTTTCCCCCTTCAAATTTGGTTTTGGGTTTAATGACACGGAATACTGATCCTGTCATTATGGAAACACACATTATTAACACTGTATCCCCTAAATCCACATGATCCACAACTGGCGTGTAAGGTGTCTAACCCAACGTAATGCTCATGCAGATATATGCAAAGTGTATTCAGAGAGATCAGGTGCTGCTTTAACCTTAATGACAGCGGTGAGATAAATTAATTAGCCATCTGAAGGCAGCATCGAAATCTGCCAATTACAATGTCAATTAGAAACACATCCGCGCTCGCGATCGTTTCCACGCGATGGAGCGGACAAGAGGAGTGTGAGAAGGGGGGGGGGGGACGTTACATGTCTGAATGACACTGAGTGAAGGAGAGAGTTGAGTACGGTACTGTACCTCCTGGACAGAGAGCCAAAGCATGAGAGAGCACGCAAAATCTGTCTATTGTAGTTTTAGAGGTGGTCTATTTCTTTTAGACCACCACTAAAAAGAGAAAAGATTTGCAGCTTTGGTCCATTTGATTCTAGGTTTTACTTTCAGTGAGGTTGTGCTTCATATCAACCAGTCATCATCCAAAGAAAATAAAGTCCATCAGTGTGTATTCAAATGAAGCAAATCGCTGGAATAAAAGATCTGCTTCTTTTCTCTCTCTCTGAGTGTGTGTATGTGTGTGTGAGTGTGTTTTTAAACGCTGTAACAGTACCACGCTTGTGATTCCTTTCTGGCTGTGTAAATGTTTGCTCTCGAATCGTAGGGCTGTGCAAATCTGTCCTTTCCATCAGGTGAAAAATCCCAGACAGGATCCTGACAACGCATTCAAGGGGGCTACGCCTGTGATTTCAGATGGGTGGGTTTGCAAGAAAAGGTGTGGGGAGGAGAACAAAAAAAAAAGCCACAAATATAACCCAGATGTTTCTCATACACACTTTTCATGATGGAGGAGTAAAGTTACACGGGCTCTCATTTGAGCTGATTTTACCACCACAAATGTTGCTTCATTATCAGACAGGGAATGCTTCTTATCGAAGAAGTTCTCCAAGATCTGAGGCGTTCAGAAATTGCAGGATATACAAGTCACTGAAAAGAGGCACCGGAGGCTGTGACATTAACACATTCTCACACACACACACACACACACACACACACACAGAAATCATCCACTTTCGCCGAGACGCACTTCATTTTTTCCCCTCCCGTGAAAAAGGCAGCGGCCCTCTCTCCCCTGATAGGACGCGGAGAACAGACCTGAAAAGGAGCTTGATGATTATTTCAGGGAGCCATCGGAAAAGGCAGACTCTGTGATCCAAGAAGCCTAGTCATTATCAGTGCATTGCTCAGGTGCCCGGAATCCTAACATTGCAAGGGGAAAGGACTAGGAAAAGAAGAAAAAAAAAAATAAAAAAAATTACATTTCACAGTCTGCTAGTTTCCAGCCGCTCTGATTCAGTTAAGATATGGATACCATTTAAAATAATCACAAATTCTGTGCTCCACTGAAATTAATTCATCATTGCCATAAGTTACAATGCATACAAAATAAACCCGCTCGGCTATTCCTCAATATTTAACAGCGCGGGATAATGCTCAATAAATCAAAACGCCAGATGATGCAAAGTTTGAATTCCATCCCATCTCATGTAACACACGTGAAATTGAGAATATGATAATTAAAAATGCCGCCGAACGCCAGTGTTAAAAGTTAACCAGCGCCTTCTCTTGCTCCTAGGGGTCACCGTACACATTAACGACTCCAAACCTGAATGTGCTGTAATATTACAGACCCCCTCGTCTCCGATAGAGGGATTTCAAAGCGATTCACAATGGATGAGATTATGGAGTATAAAGAGCACAAGGGAAATCATATTTATACCACCAGTTCAAAAATGAAAAGGGAGGATGAATACAGCGCTTTTCAGGATTAATGGGATGCAAAGTAACCAGAATCAAGTGTTGTTATCAGCGCTAGAATGAGAACACATTCAAGAGAAGGGAAATTCAATCGTTTCGCTCACAATAAAAAAAGACCGTCTGTGATTCAAGCTCATTCAGAACTTCATTCTGGAATATTTACACTAAAAGGAAAGGAGTGTTAAAGAAAGAAAGAGAGAGAAAATGCACAGGGAAAACTGCTGTAAATCCAGAAACAATACTAATCATAAATAAATGCACACAATTCATCGTTGTGACCTGCAAATTTTATGCTGTTCCATCACTTCCGGACGAAACAAAAAAAAAAAAAGTCAGACTGTTTCAAGTCTTTTTATTTGATACAAGCACCGCCCTCTCGAACCCTCAAAAAAAGTAGGTGACTAGACAGTGACGCTGGTATCTCATCAAGCAGTCCCTGCGCCTGCATTTTGGGTAATTTCTTTAATTAACTCAGCCCACCTAATCACCAGTAATTGACCTATAAAAGTAGGAGGCCTCATTGTCTGCTCCAATCATCATTGTCAGGAGGAGACTCGTTCTCCCTTGCTCTCCTTCTCACTGTTTATCCGTTTCTCTCACTATTTACCTGTCTCAAATGCATATTTCATTTCATATTGAGCTGTAATTATCCTTTGTGACACCGCCTGGCTTTTGTGTGTGTGTGTGTGTGTGTGTGTGTGAGAGAGGCGAGATTAAAAGCCTTGGGGTGGAGGGGGCAAATGCACTCGCCCCTGTTCAGGACACGCGTCCGCTTTAACGACCGGGACGGCCCTGGTGCCGCCACACAGACACGATCCCGCGGAGAGACATAGCTCATGGTGACGTTTCCACTTATTTGTGGCTGATTAGGGTCATTATGTCCCCCTGCTCTGATTTATGTTGTCATTCTTTCGGCCCCGTCCTGCATCGATAGATCTTAATGAATTGGTAAATAAGGGTGAAGATTACACTTGACAACACCCCAACATTTCTCATTCATACCCCGACAAGATTTATGTAACCAATTAGGGCGAGATTGGTCCAGCGAAAAATAATCTTTCCCCAGGAAAATTACCCAGAGTGTAAAAAACCCCGACGAAATAGATAATGGCCAGTCTTTAAGGGAGACTTAGTCACAGAGCAAGCAGAGCTCGGGCTGAAGGGTTCTCAGAAGTGCATTTAAAGAGGGGAAGCGGCTCTTGTAGGACTTTTCAAATTGATTTCTTTTTTCTTTCCTAAAAAAATTCAACCGCACGACTGCAGGAACGAGCGCACGCACAACTAATCAGCCACCATCTGCATGTCCAAACCAGAGGCCATGAAATCAATGGATTAAAAATTAACCTCTCGCCAACAAAGCAGCACTTTGATGTGCAAATGAGTACTCAAGGAGGTAGATTGCAAACTAGCACAATGCATGCATGAAGAAAAAATAATAAAATTAAATATACAAATCAATCCTTTCTCCATGACTTCACTCTGTGATGACGCCTCGACTGAAGAAATCTATTTGCATTTTTTAATAGTCTGCTATTTCAATTATTTAATTTACATCTGTGCGGTGCGAGTAACCGGTCGACTCATTTCGCATTAAAATATCAGATAAAAACACAGGCTGATCATCAATGAGCGCAGACAGGGCCGAGGAGGACCCGGAGGGACGTGGGAGAACAGAGCGAGAGTGATGCTGGCGTCGTCTCATCCCGCTTCCCCCTTCAAGCACATGCAAATAAGGCTGTGATGCTTAACTGCATCATTTATGGGGATAATAGCGGCATCATCATTACGGGACTCAAATTAAATTACATCACAATTAGCATAACAAAGTGATTGGTTAAACTTTCAAAACAAATACCCGCCTCGGCTAATGAGCGGTGTTAATTGGAACGGGCTCTTTCTAAATAAAACATGTAGGTAAACATGTGCTTTAGTTAAACGACTTTTTAGGATTTGTTTTGTTTATTTATTTGAGGATAGGAATAGGGGGAAAAAAAAGCTCACCAGGGGGAATTTGCAGTATATAAAAAAAAAACACAACCCCCTCAAAATATGCAGCATTTAATTTTATCGCACTAAACAAGCTATTACACTCGGGCTCAGGAGGACAATGTAAATTATCTGTCTGATTCTCCATATGTGCTAATCATGTATCTCATTATGCACCGGGGTATTAAATTATAAAGACCACCACGTCCACATTCCAGCACAAAGCCATATAAAAACGTAATAATATGCTCACAATAGCCCAATAGCGTGCGCCGTTCACCCTTATGAATATTTAAGTAAACAAATTATCTGCCTGCCTTTGATAGGGATAATTAGTACTCCGGGGCTAATCATTGTACTGACCCCACCTCCAAAAATGAGACAGGCTAGTTGAAGTTTTAGGTGACTATGAAATCTTAAGCCATTCTCATGAAAGTACTAAATGAATAAATGATAAAAGCTCATCTAATTAGCATTTTATATTTATTAGCATACAATCACAATAAAAAAACAAAACAATAATATTTAACACACAATAAAAGCACTCAAAGTATTTAATTTCCCATCAAACTCCACAAACAGCTCAACTGAAATCACCTACTAGGCAAAGTCGCACCACACTGTTCTTCGGCAGGAGAAACACACACTCTTACACACACTTAACGACACGCGCGCACACACACACACGCCGCACAAAACCACATTCATTATCGTCATTGCCATTATCACCAGCAATTAACCCACAGATGAAAGCAGCCCACAAACCAAGCCGGAGCACGCGGCAAGCCTTAAGGAATGACAGCGAGAGCGAACAGACCCTGATGCATGGATGAAAGTAGGGAAAGCGTGGATGGATGGAAGAAAAGGTGGCTTTATTACCTGCAGGTGAGCGGTGTGGGACGGCTGGATGGAGAGGGTGTTTCGCGGAGAGTCGGGCGTCACGGGAAAGAGCGTGCGATTATCAGTGTCATCACTCCAACTGTGTTTATACAGACTCGCATCATAAACAAGCGCCTCTTTGGCCCCGTCCCTCACGCGTCGCTCATGCATACTTAAATCGGCTGTGCACCCATTAAAAAAAAACGACCCCTATCTCCTGACAATTATTCCTTCATCTCCACTTGTCACCGAGCAATTACGACAGCGTGCAGACAGGGCCCAATAGGAGACGCGGGGCTTTGGGAAGCCAAGCGACCGGCCGGGAACGAGGGGAGGTGATGAAAAAAGTGCCTAAAATGGAAATGTGTCGCCCTGACCTGGAGCTTTTCTGCCTTTTGTGACGCGCTGGAAATACTGGCATCATTAGCATGAAAACTCTCTGCAAAACTATTCTAAAAATGCAGCTAATTTTCTTTCTTCTGAGCTTGCTCGTCTGAAAAAAAAATGCTCTTCAAAAATGTGTCCCTCTCCTTTCCTTTCTTTTAAAAAAAGGAAGTCTTTCGTCTTGCTCACTGAGTTGCTGAGTGAAAGCAGCGAGTGTGTGTGTGTGCGTGTGTGTGTGTGACCAGCGTCTGAGCGCTCGCTCACAGCCTGCGCGCGGAGTCGGAGACTCGGATCGCGCTCCACCAGCCGCCTCTCGCAGCTCTCATTTGAGCGCGCGGCTTGCGACACACACACACACACACACACACACTTTCTCTCTCTCCTCTTTTCTCCTACATTCGGACTCAAACAGAAAGAGGATTTACCAGCAACGGAGGAGCGAAATGCGAAGGTATGTGTGCCTGCCTTTTTATTCACTCTCACTTGAATGAGATTAGCAAGCATGCGATCTTTTCAGGACAACACAAAACAAACTAGTTTCAGTAGGGTCAAAGTAACCTACCTTTTGAGGAGCACAATCCCACTCCCTGAAGGTAAACGCATTTGAAGATATTCTTAGAAGCCTTGAAGCATTAACTTGCATCAAAAATGAGGAATAGGATGCCACTGGAAGGCAACAGCATCAGAGCAAGAAAAAAAAAATAGGAGGGGGGGATTGAGAGAGGTGGGGGGTATGAAGAATGAAAGAAAGAAAGAAAAAAACTAGCTGACGTTCGCTGTCAAAGCCATCATCAGAGAACTATTTACAGCGGTATTTACACGAGCGACGCAGAGCGCCTCTTGCCCGATCACGTCCGAGAAACCCGCAGCATTTTTACGCCTGTAATTAAAACAAATCAAGCAGACCTCTGATTGTTTTGGCACCCGAGGACTAATCGTACACAAAAATCAGCGGTTTGATTGTCAGGGTGGGGAGGTGGAGGGGGTGGCACTTCTTTTTCCCTGCGTTTCCCTTTTTTCCCTCTCTAGATGGATGGAGGGCTACTTTAACAAGTTGAGCGATAGTATGGTGGAAATAATAAATAAATATGCCTGCTGCTTCCCTTATTAGGTCAAGCTAACCCCAAAAAAGTCCTGACGAGGGAAGTTTCGGAGTGTGGGAGGACAAAAAAATAAATATCTTGCTTGCAAACCACTTTAGACAGCTTTGCAAATTTACCAGATGTTAATCGTGCATATTTACAGACTCCAATAAACTATTTTCAAATGCATCACAGTGCAAACGGCTGAACTAATAGTGTTTGTCAACTCTTTTCCTCATTCTCTATCCTGCATGCCACAGATGTTTCTCCTAGCTGCTCCCGCAGACAGGAATCCGCTCAGAGAGACGAGATCCACGCTCTCCCCCAGGAGACGAGTACAAAGGCCAGTCTGCGCGCGGCAGATGCAAAAAAAAAACCAAGTCCATCTGCTGTAGGCTTCCCATTGCCACATGGAGATTGAACAGTGAGGGTCACTGACAAGCGATTGCATAGGAACACCAGTGAGGAGCCAGCTGTGGGAGCAGACTTTAAATATAAAAGACTGACGTAAACACTTCTTGAATAGGACTTCACTCATACTCATATTCAATCGTAGAGCTCCTTACAAACACCCATCGGGGTAAGCAAGAACATTCATGTTGTTCACCCAAGCCAAGCTTGACCGATTTATTTAGCTGCACAGCAAGCCCACTTGAACAGTGAGCGTGATATAACAGGCACATTATCTAGCAGCTCCGCTGGAACATATTTTAACTGTATGATATCATTAGAAAACGCTGAGCTCCAGCCAACACCGTTTCTAGGCCAGACTAGGGCAAACGCTCACTGAGGAAGTGTAAAAGGTTGCACTGGCAGGGCATGGAAGGCCTCCAGGTCTCAGCGTCTAATGCGTCATGTTTAGATTTTGGCCCAAGCGCTACAGGCGGCGTCGCGCCCTAACCTTCACTTCACAAGACAAACAGGCCACTTTAGCTTTTAACGCTTGTTAGCCGCTCTCAGTTCTGGTTTTATTTCGTCTGTCTCTCACTTAACTCTCTCTCTCTCTCTTTTTTTTCCTTCTCATTTCACAGGGCTTTGGACTGCAAGGTCAATGAGGACAAACAATTCCAGCAGCGGCTCTCCAGCGCATGCAGAAGAAAGTGTGGGGCGAGGGGGGGGGGATGGACTCGTGCGCTGGCAGAGCTGGTGTCTCCGAGCGCTGGCATAATTTCCATGGCAACCCCTCTAACTATTAATTTTCAATTAAAGCAGACACAAAACGCCCTGCCCCGAGCTTGAGGAAGGTGTCAAGAGCGCAGAGCAGGAAACTGGGCCTTTCTGGAGCCACTCAGAGCCACTGGGCTCTTTCATAGTGACAAAAATCACACTGTATTTATTTCACCAAATCACACCAGTGATACACTCACATCCCAACTGAACACAAGCATGCTAAAAATTAGCCATGTTAGAATTTTTGGGGGGATTATAGCCACGTTTATGTCCCTTGGTGGTTTAGCAGAGGTGTTACCTCCCCCTTGTGTCGGCTTAAAATCTGACAGGATACTCAGCTGTCAATAAAAACCTGTTTTGAGCAATTTTGAGTCAATATTTTGTAAAATGAGGTATAAAAACTTCTGTACTCTACAGAAAGTAGGATACAAAGGTCTAAAATCACTATTTATTTATTTATTTATTTATTTATTTGTGTATTTATTTATCTATCTGTGTATGTTTAATCTATTCATTTATTTATCTAATTATGTATTTTTATCTATTTATTTATTATTATTTAATTTTGTTATATATTTATCTATCTATATATGTATTTTATATATTTATTTATTATTTTTAATTAATTAATTAATTAATTAATTTATCTGTCTATTCATGTATTTTTAAATCTATTCATTTATTTATCTATTTTTGTATTTTTATCTATTTATTTATTTATTATTGATATTTTTATTTAGTTATTTATTTATCTATCTATTTATGTATTTTTTCTATATATTTATTTATCTATGTATTTTTTATCTATTTTTGTTTATCTATTTATGTATTTTTAATTGAATTTACTTATTTATTTATCTATCTATATAACTATGTATTTACCTATTTGTTTTTTTTTATCTATTTATTTATTTATTTATTTCTATATATATATATATATATATTTTTTCATATATATATATATATTTTTTTTTTTTTTTTTTTCATATAAATGAAATAATTAGCATTCAATCCTGAAATAAGAAAAAATTACACATATGAACCTTCAGGGACGTACTGTAAGTTTGCTATTGCTCTTTATAATAATAATAATAATAATAATAATAATAATAATAATA